GTCTCTGATTGTTTTAATTATACACAGGCTTTAAAGGTGATCTGTGATGCCTGGTTGTGGCGGTTCAACCTCCTTTTCGCATGAATTCTCAGCAGCATTCTATCAGTTTGTATATAAATCTGCATAAACAATAATAAATAGTCAATTACAGTAGAGAGAAATACAATTACTGATATGTCAGAGCTGTTTAACATCCTCACATCACGCTTTGTAGAACTGTTGAAGTTGTTAAATACTTGAAGAATTAAATCAGTCTAATGTTAATCTGCAATAAACTAGACCTGTCATGTATTGTGTACAGGTTACGATGTGTAATCTGGATGCATTTAGCCTCTCTGACTGATAAACCATCAAATTCACCGCTTGTATTCTATTGACGCAATAAGTCGAAGATAAAATAAAGAGTTTTAATCAAATTTCATATTCTTAAGCCAGCATTTAAATCAATTAGCAGTTTCCTATCATGCCCTAAGGTCATGCAGCTGCCGTGGTCTTGTCAGATTAGCGTTGCCTACGTTTGCATAACACCACAGCAGGTAAGGATCAAGTCGGACAAAATCTAAGCGGCATGTATTGCACAGGTCTGTCTCATGTCAAAGCGTCCTATTTTGTGATACCAACTTCCATGTTTTTCCTTTTTTTGCACCCTGTTTGTCTCTGTTTGACTGTTTATGTAAAAGCCTCAATTGATTAGATAACAGCTCTGCAATAAGGTTTTGATACAGACAGAACAAGCGCACAAACACATGCCGAGGTTGCGCTGATCCTGTTCCGAATTCACCTCTTCGTTCTTCGCTGACCCAAGCCGAACGCTTGTCTGGACCGTCAGTGGGTCAGTTTGGATTTGAGCCGACTCTCTGTCCCTGTATCCTTCGGCTTTATTCAAGCCATACGCTGCAGCGGCATTGAACAACATAACTCCAGATTTAGCACTCTCCTCCTTCCATGAGTGAGCCGACTGCCAAGTCATTAGGGAGGGTTTGTCCTAATTTCTAGGTCCTTGTGGAAACTTCAGTTTATTTGAACATTTTTCACATGTTGTGCGAGTCTTACGCAGCTGCCTTTTATTCCAGTCCTCAGAGGCAGAGATTTAGAAGTATCAGCATCATCATAATGCTTCTGATGTCATTTGTTCACTTGGAATTACTTGCGTAAAATCAGTGTGAGGAGTTAAATCCACTGCTTTATTAATATTGAAGGAGAAAAAGTCTTTCACAAGTAACAAATAACTTCGACAACAACAGACTTGACAAATTTTTGAGTAAAACCAGGAGCATCTTGCAGCTGCTCAAACTTAATATGCTGACATCTTTGCCAAGGTTGTGTTGTTTTGGTACATAGATTCATTTGTACTCACACCGTGTCTCTCTGTTCCCAGGTCAGACAGGCCGGTATGTTCTCATCCAGCGTCTAAGGGACACGGAAAGGCAGCTGCTGGCCACGGAGAGGCCTCTGGAGTCTCTCGCGAAGTTAGGCCAACATGGCAGTGAAGTTCAGTTCTTCTTGCGGCGTACCGGCCCCAGCAGCAGTGACGGACCGAGCTCAAAACAAGAAAGATCAACTCCCCTTCCACTACCCAAGTATCCTGAGCCAGAGCCTTCGAAACGTAGCCAGCCTAAGAAAGCCCTGACTTTTAACTTGGGGCCATCCACCTCCCCTAAAACCAAGGCCAAACAGTTTAAGAGGTCTCCTCGGGACTCTCCAGAGCAAAGAGCCTCCCCCTCCTCTTCTCCCAGCCCTGTATCCCCTCATGTGCCATCCCCTTCTCCCTCACCACCTATAGGCCCTTCCAAGGAAGAGGTCTTTAGGAAAGTTCTTCAGCAACAAGAGAGACTGAGGGCCATTGAGGCCCAGCTAGAATCCCTGGAGAGGGAGTCGCATACGTGGGAGCGCCCCTACCCGTCTCCACATCCCTCACCAGTCCCAGAGGTTCACTTGCAAGACGAGCTGGACGCTTTGGAGCAAGTGATGCGGAGGAACCAGGCCGAGCTCGCACATGAGCTGTACTGGGAGGAGCAATTTCAAGCCGAGGTGGAAAGGGAGCAAGGAATGAGGAGGAAGCTCGGGGAGCTCCATGCCAAGCTAGACGACTGTGGACGGCGGCTCCACGAGTTCTCAGTTCGCTCTGCTCAGCTGGAGCAAGAGATCCAGCGGGAAAGCCAGGCGGAGGGGAAAGCCAATGGGCCCGAGGAGTCGCTAGACGCTGTGAAGACGGAGCTCCGGAGCCAGGAGAGGCATGGGACAGACCTGGAGGAGCAGCTAACTGAGACTGACAAGGCTCTGGGGAAGGCAGAGTCTCTGCTGCAGGTAAGGAGAGAGGTCACGGTTCTGGAGAAGGGGCTGTAAAATCCACATCAGCCCTTGTGTTGTCATTTGCGAGGTGCACTACAGACCCTCTTTCGTGTTACTGTAAACTGTATCCCTCTCCTACCTGCACAGTGCAGCAGACACACAGCAGTGCAGAGACACTCAGAAAAAGAAAAAATAATACTCAGTGCAAAGGATGAACATGAATTATTATGGCGTTTTGATATTTAAATCGTCATTTGCAGATGTTTTGATGATACGCATGCTGTATGCTCCTATCCTACCATGTATGAAAATATTTTATTGTCTGAACTGTTATTTACAGTCTAGCTGAACTGGTTTGGCAGGTGTCATCTAGTACGTGTTGCATGCTCTAAACACGAGCTTGCTAATGATGTTGATTATGCTGACAGATTTCTACACATGGTTGTACTGTGTTTACAAACAGGGATTAAAAAGGATTGATTTGTAGAACGAAAAACCCTTTTACTGCATCTCCTCAGCCTCAACTTCTGGTCGTTTATGGCGTCTTTCATTGTTTTGTTTGCTGTTGGCGGTTGTCATAGATGCGGCTGTATCAATAAAAGGCTAACCCAGTTTAAAGCGAAACTCAAGTTCCCTCATAATCCGCATGAAACCCAACACTCTGGTGTCCTTTTCATTGAGCTGGTTCAGCCAGAGGACTAAAGAAAATTAAATTCCACCTTCATGGTAGTATGGTAGAAGGTGCTGATTTAAATGTCGTGTCACAATGAAATAGAGCACACTGAACACATTGTAGTTCAGTGTTTCAGTTCCATGAACACCGTGAGACCTTTACAACCCTTTTCTAATCCAGTAGACCCCAGGTTATAGAAAACTGGCCGAAAAACTGATTAAAATATAGCGACCAGCTCATTTGCTTTTCAGTCAGTCTTACTTACGGGGGATGTGTTAGACTCCGAGGGTGAGCTCAGCAGACTTAATGCCTGGTTGATGGGACAGAGAAGAGCTGCGTATCATAGACAATCACAGAAACCAATTATGTCAAAATCATCCCGCTGCAGAACAAAGGTATTAGGTTTTCTCTATACATGTCGTTGTGAAATGTACCACCGTGTCTCAGCATGTACTCAACAATACTCTAAGTGTTCATAAAAGTAACCTCAGGGGCATTTTATCACCCAGACAGTAATTGCACAGAGGCAATAATAAGCCTTTATTCTCTTTAAATGAAATGTTAACATGACAGAGTGTAATAAAAATCAGTCTACAGCGCGAGAACGAGGTGTATGTAAGTCATCGGTCAGCTCATTGGTCGAGCCTGCCAGCCGAGCGTTTAAGTGTTGGTGGTGATGAACACGGCGTTCCTGTCATCAGGCAAATGGAGGCAGACCTGCAGGTGTGAACTGCCTCAGCGGGCTGCCTCGGTCCAATATCAATTACCCATATACGCACAGGCACACAAGGTGGCCACAGCATACCGCTGCGCCTTTCTCCGCTGTGTGCAGACACATTGATTAAATGCAAATGGATAGTCGATTAAGACTGACTGACTGGCCTGCTTGTGTGCATCAAGGTTTAATCTGTGGGCGTAAAGGTGACGCTCCTGTTTTGATAGAATGTTTCTGGACTCCACATGTTCAATAATTGCAGCTGATAAATATCTTACTCCTGACATCCCATCAATTAACACCAATCTGAAAGCCGGCAGGCAAATAAGCATTGCTGTGTGAACATCTATAAGCGTACCTCGGGCTGTTTAAATCTAATGGAATCAGGAAAATGCTTATGGCAGTTGTGGGGCTTTGATGATTCACTGTAGCTGAATGGACTGATGATGACCTGATAGGAAATATGCTACATCAGTGACTTGAGGCTGGAGTTGTAGACTCTGCTGCCCCCTTGTGGTAAATACAAGAGAATGCTGCTTTTTAACAACATCAATAAATTGTCATTAAAGTCATGCAGAGAAGAATTATATTTACTGCTAAACAGACATGTTTACCTCATCCTAGTCTCATAGGCTGCATCCACTTTAATTACCGGGTAAACAAGGTGTCAGCGTTGGAGTCGGCGCTCTGACTCATCGTCCTTTGTTTTCCATGTTTTTCTTTCCCGACTCAGGTCAAACAGGAGGAGCTGGAAGAGTTGAATAAGGAGCTGAGGCAGTGTAACCTACAGCAGTTTATCCAGCAGACAGGTGTCCTGCCAGCGCACACCCACTCACGCACGGAGCTTCAGGAGCAGCTGGAGCAGCTGGAACTGGCACAGTTTCTGCAGGAGGGATATAGGAACGGAAGTACGGGACTAAAAATACACATTAAGCCTCAAACTACACGTTTTATACGGTGCCGTTAAAAGATTGATTGGCTTGTCCTCTGAAGATATTTCTTTCTTTCCCCTCAGGTCGCAGTGTAACTCCAGTGGAATCCCCGCCTCGCCCCACTGCCAAACAGTTCCTGGGACATCCACGCAACCTGCAAAACCCTCTAGTGTCCAGTCTCAACCCTGAGGGTGTGTATGTGTGAGACCCCTGCTGCTTCCTGAGCCCATCCTGCCCCTCTCCTGCCCCGCTCTTGTCCATCCCCTGGTCCCAGAGCCCCTAGCCCCCCTCCTGTATTTTCTACCCCAGCTTGTTTGGGTTTAAGGCTACAACTACCGTTTTTTGGTGTTGGGTAGTGGAAGCATCTGTATGGTGGAGGTTCCTGCAACTTCTCAGCGGCTTCCCTGTGCTCAACATCGAAAGGCCGAGAAACTTTTCTCCTGTACCTAACTCGCAGTGTTCTGCTGATTTCTGTTCCTTGCTTTTAACAGTTGATGTATTCCTCCTCCCAGTTTCTCACTTATCCCTGTATGCTTTAGTCTTCTGGATGTGTTCATCCTCTAATGTTCTCTCTACTCCCTGTCTTCGTTCTCTCTCACTGTTTGCTTCTGGACTAACAGTAGCTGCTTTTGTTATACTTTAATGCATCTGGGGATTTGCTGCTAATTCCCCCCTCTGTAGTACAGAGTGGCCTTCCCACCCTCAAGTCAGTAATCGACTACCAACAGCTGCTTTTCACCGTATCTCCATGTAACACGTCGATAGCACTGGGAACTACTGTGGCAGACGTTCTGATTGTGTGTTTGTTTTTATACTGTGACATGGAAAGATATGAGACCAATGTCATTTCAGTTTGCCTTTTATGTATGGATACTATTTATATGCGAGGGGAGTGTATCTATACAATGCCTTGTACTTTGGTGACGCTTGACTTCCAAAGAGCAAGAGCCTTTTACGGAGGGCTCTGCAAAATGTCTTTGCACTGTCCCATTCTCTTCCTGTGTGAAGCCTTGGCCCTCGTGTGCCTACAGAGAAATGTATCTTCCTGTTCTCCTCTATTTGTTGCTCTGCTTGAAGACGGCGTAGCTTATTTTGGGAGCTTATACCTTTTGCAAGTCTATTTTTGTCAAGCTCCTCGTTTTAAAAAGAAAAAAAAAAGAAAAAAAAGGAGAGATACATTGCAAAAGTAGCGCCACAGGCCCATGGTTTGTTAGGATGCTTTTCTGTTCATCCACTGGGATGGATGCACCTGGTTCTTTTGCCGCCATCACACTTAACATTTGACCTGTCGTAACTTGCATTGTGCCTCAGTGTACTGTAGATTTAGGCGATCAGACTTAACATGAACAAACATAAGTCCAACAAGCTGTTATTTTCACTGCTTTGGTCACCTCCATTATCCATAAATGACCATCCAAACCAGCCAATACTTACCGTAACGTAGCACTTAGCGTTTCATTATACCGCTCGTCTCTGCATTATGCTGACAGGTCAAAGTGACGTGTGTTGCGAGTGTGCGCTCTCTTTACCGTCTGCCGTGTGGTGTTTTGTTTGTGGGATTAGACAAACGCTCCTTGCTTTGGAAACTGAAGACATCTCAGTGCTTGTTATAGAAACAGCTTGAAACCACTTCTGTTCCAAAATGCTACTCTGACTTACGAGATTTCAGTCATAGTCCACAAACTCTGTGGATAAGGGAGTTAACCCCGTGACTGGTCTTGTGTCTGCCTGTGTTTTTTTTTCCTCCACAGGCGTGTGTGAATATCCTAACTGAGCCAGGTCTCTGGTGTTGTGTATTAGCTGAAAAGTATTTTTGCCTCAGAAACAAAGGGATCATCATCCCCACTTATTTTTGTGTGTCTTGCAGTCCTGACATCCCGAGAGTCGTCATGGAGATAAAACACGGACCGCAGGGCCGAGAGAAAGTTGTTCACTGTTCTGTCACCCGTCACGTCTTATTTAACCCTTTGCTTTGTAACACTTCCATTCATTATTCAATCTACTATGATATACATACTGTATATACGTAAGACAAATATATTTACAGAGTTTTGCTACTGTAAACACTGCTAAGTATCTATATGAAATGTAAAATAATTTAGAGACCTTTGACCTAGAGAAATTATTACTATTACTATGTATTTAAATATAATAAAATGTGCATTGTGTTTTAGATAATATTTTGCCGAGTGCTTGTTTTTCTTTGTACCCTCTTTATTAAATCACTTTTAATTATAATCAGCGAGTTGCAGTAACTGGAAGTGGAGGTTCAGTACGTCTGTAATTTCTTGCAGTAAATAATTAACTCACAAATGTACAGTTTCTAAAAATTACAGTGCCAAGAACAAGCTCCTATGTGAAATGCATTATGAATATATTATAAGTGCTGAAATATGCATGCTCCAACTTATTGCTTGAGGTACAATGGGCCCTGTGGTGCCCACACGATAATTTCGGGGGTATTTTAAAGCTGTTATTCACAGGTGGCTGACTGAAAGTTCACAAAGTGCATCCTTGGATGCTGAGGGAAATGTGGCAAACATCCTGGCGTCACAGCTGTTGCTGTTATGGATGATGTGACACGGTGCATCTGCAAGACGTGATGGTGGAGGCACGAGAGACTTGTGAGCATCTGACAAGGCTGACTGTATTTAGCTATGAATGTTGAAGTTGCTTTTAGGATCACGCTATCAGTATAAAGATCTGGATTTCTCTTTGTCACCACCAGAGGACATGTGACTGCAGAACACTGTGGACTTTAGACCTCTGAGTCCATGTATGGCTTATCTCTGTAGAATACTAACGACCGAACAACAGCTGTTTCTTTAGACATAGGTGATAAACATCGCCCTGATATGGGATAAGCAGATAACTACTCGGCTTGAGCACAACACACTTGTCCTCCGCTCCTTTCCTGTTTGTTTACCCTGGAGAGTAAATACACTGGCTGTCACACACTGAGCCTCCCTAGTGCTCTGGCCAACCCCGGACTGAAACCCTGCGGACTTCTATAAATACTCTCATCTGCTAACATGTGCCAGGTAAAATTCCAAGCAACGCACACATTTCTTGTTTTTCTTTTTTTCCCCTCCCACAAATGCATACTGAAAACTGTTTCCATCCATCCAAATCACTGGCTGTTCTAATTAAATCTTTCCCTCTTCACACCAGTGTTGTCAACTTGTGACCATGTGTTCGAATTAAGGAGACAGCTCCGATATTATGATCAATTATGCAAAATTGGATTATACTGAGAAGATTTAGAGCTGTCTGGCTTTGCTGGAGTTAGATAAGCTTCAAATCCTTGTTTAGTTCACACTGTCTGGACCGACCCGAAGCCTGGTGGGACGCTGACGCCTACCTGTGGACGTAAGAGGGTACTGCACATAAAACCCTTACCATATTACTAACTCTTTCTCTCTTTTCTTTTCCCACTTTGTGCTACATTCATGTTGATAATATTCAATGCTAGGTTCTGCAAAAATGGAAAAGGTCATATTTCTGAAAATCCCTGCATTACTTCAGGACTCTAAACATCAATTATTTAATGTTCTGCCTTGTACTTTCTCCAGAAACTCTGCATGCAAAAACACCCAACCTCACCCATTTCATATCTAAACTCAGAGGAGTCCAATCTCATAACGGCACATTAACAGATTACGACGATATTTCTGGGACACCATGCAGAGGGAATTATTTTTTCAAACACACAACTGCACTCCACGTGAACCCCAACGAAATCTACTTTGGAAGAGGGACGCCAAGCGTAACATTTTGAGCACTTTCAGATGATCAATATGTGTTTCTAACAGGCCACGGGTGTCTGGGAAAGGACCTCCCTAATGTGGACGAGAGTGAGCATCTGCACGTCCACATCACGATGATGAATGGGGCCACAAGTTAATGAGTCTGACATACTGCACTTATCTATTCCTCTGTGTCACAATGACTCATTACGCACTGAAGGGAATAAAACATCGCCACTGATACCAAGAAAATGCATTACACGGAGAGACAGACACATGATACATGATGCCACAGTTTTGATTTGAGTAGAAACTTTACTTCTCACTTTAGGAACATACAATGTGCATACTGTATAAATACAATGCATGAGGAGCTCAGGTTTGTGCTGCTGTTTATGATTCAGAAATGAACTGTACATTGCTTCTATTCATGCAAACTATATCTCAATCCATTCTCTCCTCAAGTTCAAGATAACTGTCTATACAGCGCTGCTCATTTCTGCTTGAAGGCCCCTTGGAGCCTCTTCAGGAACCTCTGGAGGCCCCCTGACCTCAAATTGGCAGCGTGAAGATGATCTCAACCACACAGATGAAACAGAAACTGAAACAAAACACTCACCAACGGTCTTTAAAAAAAAAAAGGAGAGGTCAGCTGCATAGGAGGAAATGCAAAAAAACAACACAAGCCACCAATCCTAAATAAGGTGCCGTGTGAACACAGTAGGAAGTAGGCTACAGTACACATAGAGATCACTGGGAGGGCATTCATGCTGAGCAGGCCTGTCCCAGCAGTGCACATGATCAAGGGCTGCTTGTAGATAGGTGTGTGTCTGGTCCGGCTGTGGCTGGTGTTGAGATGAGCCAAAAAAATATACGAGAGGTATTCCCAAAACCAGGTTAGCCGCTGTCACACGCACAGTGGAACTGGCAACTGGCACAATGTGCGTTAGTCAGTGGCTTACCTGCTTTTAGATCTCATGCATAACACTGATAAGGCAGTAAAAAAAGCGCACAAAAATCTGGAGAGTAGAAACAGACAAATGCTGTGTGAAAAGAACAGTGATGAATCAGACATGTTTGAGAATGGGTGGCTGTAGCTATATTAAAATCATATCACTTATGTACTTATGAAATTGCACTATTTAAAATTACCTACACGGTGTTAAATGGTATAAATAATTGTAAAATTGTAAATAAATCGACAAATTTATGATTTATTTATGTTATCCCAACACTTTAACTGCTACTGAATTATAAATTACAGTTGGAGGTCTCTCCATAATGTATGGATTTGGCTGCCGAAATATATTACAATGCTTTCAGTTTCAATTAATATTTTAAAAAAAGTTCCAAAATAAACAATTATCACAAGTGATAACTAAAAATAAATTCACAGCAAAATTACATGTAACTGATACAGTGGCTGTGGCCTGTTCACCACACCATATAGACAGAATAAAGAATAGTGGCAGATAAAGGGAGCTACTTACCAGTCCCAAGTTTTCTTTTAGAATAATTTTTGAGGGGGAAATCTTTCATTTTCGCCCACAGGTCCCCGTCTACCAACAGTCCGAACATCCAAATTGTTTTTTCTCTCAAATAAATCTCAGTGCACGATTAAAGTTAGGTGCATTTTGAGAATATAGTGTAGCCTACACCGACGCAGAAGTTCAGTTCACTTGCACTACCCCTACCCTGCCCACTCCCCTGCATCTGCAACCCGACCTGGTTATGCAAATTAGAAACAATACGGGCACCCCGCGCAGCCAATGCGGTTCGAAGTTGAACTTCAACGTCCCGCCTGTCATAGATAATTGACCAATGAGGAGCGGAGGGGGGCGGGCTTTACTCCAGCAGCAGTTCGGTTGAGGCTTAGAGTTATAGTTGGGGTGCGGCGCGTTCAGTTTTGCACGTCGTACATTAGGAATGAACCATTATCTTGTTAACAGTTTCCTGCCCTGGACGATTATTTATTGCAAACATCCATGCGACACAGGTTTCTTTGCCCTTAAATAGGCGCCATGTGATGCGACAGCTGCCGCTGGAGGTGGCACAAGTGTATATTAAGGCAGTTGGACAAAGGGCGCCGCTACCCCTACAGTGTGAAGTGGTTGAACTCGGCTTACTTGTGTACAGTGTTGCCATGAGCAGAGTGTGGCTGTGCACGTACCAAGGATGTTGCATGACAGTCTGATCTGATGATGACGAGGAGGTGGAAGAGGAGGAGGAGGAGGAGGACGATGATGATGATGAACACTCAATTATTTACGGAGCGGAGGGTTGAGGACTTCCTGACATCATTAACAAATTGTGTTACTAAATTAAAAAAAAAATATATATATATATTTAAAAAAAGAAGAGTATAAACATGTTTTTTCCTCCTTTAAATCTTATCATCACATGGAATAAAGTTACCACAGATGCATTTAGATCTATGAAATTACAGCACAGGGGTATAAGATATCACAATGGAATTATGAGCATTGTAGCTTCTTTTTTATATTTTCTTTATAGATCACGCACACACAAAAAAAAATCCCTTCATTTAACTGACCCCCTTCTCACACTGTCAGCTGGAACATTGTGTTCTTTCTTTGTTTCTGAAATATTTATCAGGCAAGTTTTTGGTTTGAAGTGTTCGTTTTTTCTGATCACTTTTTGACTATTAAAGCCCAGTCGGATTATTCACAGCTAGGATACACATAACCCCATGACATAAAGTAGCAAATCAGGATTACACATTGTGTTATGTAACAGCTGATTCTGTGAAGTTGGAGCTGCCACTTGGGGGCGACAGGGATTGCTGTGTTGCAAGTTTGCAAACCAGGTAGTAAGGCAGACCCAAGAGCCAAAATAGATTTGCTGGTTTGTTGTTTGTTTTTTATTGTTGTTTGAGTTATTAGAAGTAGCAGGAATGGTTTGTTTGGTAAGATATAGCTTTAATCTGATGCACATAGTCAAGAAACACAACTTGCACATGTGTTGAGTCAAACCACTGAGTGTGAAATGCACTTTAAACTACTAAAATTAAATACTGTATATGTATATATCTTGTTGTTTTATTGCAACTGCTATAATACACAATGTGTCATTCAGTACTATCCAGTCTAAGTCCAGCTGAACTGCTCATTGCCAGCAGTGGAGAGGCTGCACACAATTGCAGAATTGTCCTGATATGTGAACTCACATTACTCTCAAATCATGTATTTGAAACCACAGTGGCACACTGTGCCCTATTCACTTTCCCTATGTACAAGACGACTGCTTTGACTTGATGCACGACTTCTTATATTCAACTGTATTCACAATATATCCTAGATGTGAGGAGCTATAAAAATCTAATATCATAATTTTGTGTGATTTATAATGAAAAAGACAAGGTCTCTTATGGTACTCCATTGATATGATATTTAAATTTCCTTAAAAAAAGAAAGAAAAAAAAAAGAAAAAGGATTTGTTGTAATTTGGATTCTGTTTTAATTTTTTTGATGTGTGGCACATTGGTCAAAATTTTGTTGCATATGAGTAAAAAAATTAAATAAAAACAACAACAACAACAACAACAACAATAATAATCTAACTATTATTGTTTTATTTGAATAATTAAATAAAAACAATAATACATATATATAAAAAATTCCTATTGTTTTAATTAATTTTTTAAAATGTTTTGTGACTGATTTTTTGAAGTAATTTGATTTAAAAATAAATAAATATTATGTATATTATTGATTCATTTTAAATAAAATGACTATATATAATATATATATATATATAAAAATTTATATATATTTTTTAAATTTTTAAATCAAATAATTTATAAAAGCGTCACAAAACATTAGATCCATTTCTCGTGTCTGTTCAGAGTACTCATGGTATATATTTGGATCGCAGACTGTGCCTAAGTGTAACTGGATCTACTCCAACACATATAATACACGCATACGCTGTACATTAGTACTATGATCCCGTGTACTGTCTCTTTAAGAGTCACATTCGTCGGAGCGCACTCGGCCATTTCCGTCGGTAGCCAGCCGGTGGTGTCACTCAACAACCGTGGAGACTTCAAACCACTCTAAACATACCCCACACTACTGAATAGGGTAGGTTTAAAATTACTACTAAATGATTGAACGGGACATTGTAGTTGCGGACGTTGCACAGGGAATTGGTGTAAGCGCGCCCACACACTGAGTGTTTTTAGCACAGAGTTCAAACGAGCGTGTAGTTGACGTTCGCTAATTTTAGCTTTTCTGCGGCTAGCTAACACGCTACACTGAAGCTAATTTTACTAGCTAGCGTCATTTGTTCAGTAACAACAGCCTTCCGGGGTCGTCTCATTCTTTTGTCAGCGCACATATCTACAATGTGGATATCTGCATTTGCGTTTCTTGTATATTTCATTATAGAAATAGAGAAAAACGCTGTTTGGTGCTGAGTTTCCCTCTTTGTTTACAAATGTAGCCTCATGCACAATCTACATGCTGCTGTTGACTAGCTAGCTAGTGTAAGACAATCATTTACTAATTTTATACAAGCATTAACATGTTTGCAATGTTTTGTCAGTTAAAACTGAGCGAACACAAAGTCAAATGTCACTTGTGGGTTTTAAGAAAATGTTAGTTCACTACAATGGAAACACTTATAGACAAGCATGATGACGGTTTTCTGTGTCTGCTAATAAATGTGAACGCCAGTAGATTAGCTTGGCATGTCAGTAGCACCCTAAATACCAATTTTCAAGATACAGTTGTCATATTCACTACAATTGTTTGAAGAGGAACAAAAATCAGGCATCAGCTGCTTTTTTTAAAACCACTGTTCTGTTGTGTCATCCAAGTATTTCAGAGAAAAGCTGTCAGAGAAGTTTCTCTGCTGCTGTTCTGATGGTCAGTCATGGATGAAGACGACAGCCAAGATGAGCTGATCAACCGCAGTACATCTCACAGCAAAGGGAAGAGAGCTGCGTTGTGGGCCATTTCAGGTAGCTTGTGTTTCAGATCCTGTCACTTATCCAGTGTACTCCAACTGCTGCATTTTATGTATATTTTCATATTGTTTTTCTGTCCCAGATGACTCAGACGACTGTGAGGAGGAGTCAGAGGAGGGAGAATCTGACAGTGGCGAAGAAGAAGAGGAAGATCACGTAAATGGAGAAGATGAGGAGGAGGAGGAAGAAGAAGAAGAGGAGGATGGTAGGAGTGACTGTGCGGGTCATAGTATTCTTATTGTTGTTTATATTGTCAGAGATGGTGATGGTCTGCTTTATGTTCATCATTATCGCATATTATTCTTTTTACAGCTTACTTGTTTTTCTGATGAAGCTTTGTGTGACTCACTTGTACTTTGTAGTCCTGAATTTTAGAGCTGTCATTCAGCTTATGCATTATTTTTTTACTCAGCAGGGCTCAATATCCCTGAGGAAAAACATACTTCCACACTTAAACAAGGATTATTATATGCTCTCAACTGTATGGGATATTGCAATACCCTGTATAGATGTAATGCATTGATTTCCCCCTGCTTTTGTTAGATGAGGAAGAGGAGGAAGATGCTAAGCCCAAGGATGGGGCTTTTGGGGGAACCTCGACTGACTTTGCAGGGTTGAGCTCAGATGAGGACTCAGACAAGTGTCCCATCTGCCTGAACTCATTTACCAGCCAGCCTGTTGCTACACCAGAGAACTGTGAGCACTACTTCTGTTTCGACTGCATCCTTGAATGGGCCAAGGTAGGTGTTCTGTTTAGGAGCATCTCTCTCTCTCTGCATTTTTAAACATCTGTGTTGAGGGGAAGATGAATTGCTCAGTATGTTTTTGTTTTCCTCCATATAGAATGCAAACTCATGTCCCGTAGACCGGATCTCCTTTAACAGCGTATACTTAAGGAAATGTTTTGGGGGCAAAGTGAAGAAAATGGTGAGTGTGTTCATTTTTTACACAAATGTGGAACAGTTATAAATTCCCATATGCACTTGTTCTGTGTGGACTAATTACTTTGGTGTGTTTGCTTTGTGATAATTGCTTCATTCAGATTACGGTGCAAAAGCCTGTGAAGGAAGGTCAAGAAGAAACAGTAGATGTGGACCTGGAACAAACCAACTGCGAAGTGTGTGGCGGCAGCGACCGGGAGGACCGCCTCTTGCTCTGCGATGGCTGCGATGCAGGGTGAGATAGAGAATATCCAGAAGTCCAGTTTTTGCACATTTTTACCAGCCTAAAACTTGTTGTCAGTGAAGTGTTTTTGTTTTGCAGGTATCACATGGAATGCCTCACGCCTCCTCTTGACTCTGTTCCTGTGGAGGAATGGTTCTGCCCTGAGTGTGAAGCCAACAACCGTAACTCAAGTAAGGTTTTGAGTTATTTTATTTTGAACTTGATCCTTTAAAGGAAATAGGAAAAACCATTCCTTAGTGCAAGTGAAATAAATATTCGATCTTGAAAATGTTTCACATATTTCACTGCATTGTCGAGGCATTTCTCTGTCTTTAAATAAAAATAGACCGCAAAAGAATTATTCGTATTAAAACAGCATGTAAATCTTTCAAAAGTGGCCATAGTTAAGAATCTTACCATTGCTAGCAGTCTTAAGCATCCTTCCACAAGTCAGACCTTTTAAATCTTCTTGCCTCAGGAGGTTCGGCTGAGGAGGTTAGCGACACAGACAGCCTACCGTCTACTGCTCGTCCTGCCACCAGTCGATCGCAGGCCCGTGCTGCAGGTCCCACCAGAGCCATCGCCCGGACCCAGCAGAGCGAGAGAGTTCGAGCTAATGTCAACCGGCATCGCATCACACAGGCACGCACGTCGCAGGTTTGGCATGAGGCGTGATGCTTCCGTCTTGGCTTATTTCCTAACTCACTCCCACAGCAGATGAGCAGTGTTGCATTTTGCAGATGAATGTGTTCAACTAAGTTTGTTGTTGTTGTGCAGACTTGACATTCTGATAACGTTAAATATTCAAGTTGCTACTGACTTTTTGAAATATTAGCACGGGGTGTGTTTTTGACATTCGTTCAGTTTGACTGGTGACTAAAATGTGTGTGTTGAGGAGAAGTGCATTTTTGAGATTGTGTTTGCAGTACAGTTGTTTGTGAACTCTAACCAGTAGATTAATGCATACTTTGTCCTCCTAGTTGGCTCCCACGTATCTGATCCAGTCCACTTGGCTGGATGAAACTATCAACGCTGTGGTGGCTGGGCTCAACACATCAGTGTATATACGGGACTTCACACCTCGTATCCCATCTAGCCGCAGACGCAAGACTGGTGAGTAAAGAGACGCATTACATACAATAGAATACACTAGAAAGGAGGTTAGCATAGATGCAAACTCAAACATAAACATGTAGTAAAAGATTGCTCTTTGTTCTAAACACAGATGGTGAGGAATGGTTTTTATGTTTGAATAAATAGGAAGGCGCCGAAAGATGAGAAGTAAGAAGACTTCTTCCGCTAAAGGTAAAGCGGCAAGCACTGGAGTCAGAAGGAGGAAACGGAAAGTAAGGAGGACTAAATCCAAGAGGAAGCTGGTGAGTGAATCATTAACGTCAATATTGTGATTTAAATAAGTTAGTTTTTAACATTTCACTGTGTCTAACGCTGAATTTCTACACTGTACAGTTGTTTTCTCATCTGTTTATATAACGCGTTTCTCTCTGGATAAACTCTACGTCCGTGTTTTCCTGCCAGATGTTGAAAAAGACACTCACTCCACGAAGCCGTATCGCTAGTAATCTTGGAATTGTAAAGGACAAGAAGAGCTCTTCGCTTCCGACAGTGTACCGGCCGTCGGAGCACACGCTAAGCAACATGCGCGCTGACATAGGAGCCGCATCGCTCTCTATCTATGGAGATCCATTTGATCTGGATCCTTTTGTGGATCGGTAAGAAGACTTCCAATCATGTGATTTTGCAAAATGCTCCCATGGTGTTAGTTTTTTTAATCTATCTACTGAACTCCCCGTAGCCCAACGTGTACTTTGGTGTTACACAGAATTGATGTATGCTGCAAATATGTTGTGTTTGTATGTACGTCTGTTGTATGTTGCACATACTTGAATAGTAATAATTAAAAAGCCTTAAGTATTTTCAATGAAGCACTGTTAAAAACATGAAATTATGCAGTTTGGTCACTTCAGTTTCAAATAACCAGAACAGAAAATATAGATAACGAGCTATTAGTGATTTATTTTGTGTTGGGCACATGTGGGTTTTGTTTATGTATGTTTCGATGTGTTTGTTCGGCGCTGAGCATTTTCACTATTAATTATTAAGCAATTAAATATTATTATGACTTATGGTATTGACTTGACCAGTGAGGAGGACGACCAGCAGGTTCACGTTACATCGCTGCTGGAGGCCAAAAGACGAGGGATCTCCCGCTCTGCTCTGCGCTCTCATCAGCCCGTGGCTCGACCAGTCACTGCGAGCCTTTCCAGGTAATAAATTCAACAGATTCCGTTCTAGTACAGATTTATAGCTCATTGTGCTTCGTGTGTCTTGACTTTTCCTATCAATCCATCAAAGTGTTCTTTTGTGTCTGCTGCTGTGTCACTGCCAGTGCATGAATGAACACATGATGTAATTACTGTGCAAAACGTGTCTTTCAGTGGTAAAAAATTACTACGGAGCAGTTTAAGAATGCAGAGTTTTTGATTGACCCAGTCCCATAATTCCCTAAAATCAGCTAATGCAGGCAAACACAATTCAAGAATAAATAAAAAGTGAAACAATTATTTTTTTTTGCTGCTTTTTAAATTAGAAAACAAACTGAAAACAGCAGATGTTCTTCACTGTCTCTCATCCATGAGCACCAAAAAATAAATCAATATTTTAATCAAAAACAAAGTAATTAAATAGTATTTTAGTGATTAAAAAAAGACAAAACAAAATAAACAACACAACTAAAATCTAACCAAACTAAAAAGAGAAAAACTGATTCCAATAATGAAGAACAGCTCTTTCAAAAAACTGAACCACCGTTGTTAAGATTTAATAATAGTGAGGTACGGTTCTCTCCTTCTTTGCGTTTGAAGATGGAGGTTTAGCTTCATAAACGTCAAGAAATCTCATTAAAGGTTTGCTGTGCTCTACCAGGAGGGGTTTGGATGTCCACCAGTCGGCGGATGTTGTGGAAGCAGCTCCGGTGCCGGATCTGCTGGGCAGCATCTTATCAGGACAGAGCATGCTTCTGATGGACAGCTCCGACGTCGTCATTAATCGAGATGGTTCGCTTAAAGCTACAAAGCCAAGTAAGTGTAAAAAATGTTCCAGCAAGTGATGTTTAAATATATTGTAGTTGAGATGCGACTTTGTCATATTGGCCATTTAAAAATTAATTGTTGGTTGTTTTAAAAGCATCATTTACGTTAAACCCCTGAAACTGCAGCTTGAAGAATATGAAACTTTAAACCGTCTAAAATCTTGCAACACAAGAGTCCAGCAGTGCTTCTTGTGCTCTCCCACGTGGGCAGTGAATTATTCACAGCCAAATGTGAGTCACTGAGCTTGTTGCTATAACAAAATTCCCATTTCTTGGTTTCCCCAACACGGCGATGTGTTACTCTGAGGAGTTACTCTGAGCAGTATGCAGTGTGTAATCTGCGCTGACTTACCCTGATGGCATCAAATTAGAAAATCTTACTTTTTTGGGGGGTTTAGTTTATATTCCAAAGACGATCTGTGATTTTTATTATTCCTGCATTCGTTTTGAATTTCATTTACAGCCCAAATAGTAGTTATTAGGGCATGTAAAACGATCTAAATGGAGACGGTGCGATCAATGTTCTAATTAAATACGTCATTACCATAGTAGTTACTATTAAAATAAGTTCTATGGTAATGTCATGTTTTGTGCCATATAGTTTTGAAATAACTTCCTAAAATGCTCAGAAGAGGGCTGCAAGGTGGCTCAGTGGTTAGCACGTCGCAGCAAGAAGGTCGCCCTGAGTCGGCTGGGATAGACTCCAGCCCCCCATGACCCTAGTGAGGATTAAGCGGTGTATAGATAATGGATGGATGGATGGAAATGCTCAGAAGTCTTTACACAAAAAGTGCTGCAATGCTCCGCTGCTTTATCTGTGCCTTTTTTGTTTATACATGTATTTCTGTTACAGTGATGCCATCCACTTTAGTGCCAGGTAGCAGCACAAGCAGTAGCTCAGGAGATACCAGCACCCTCAGCCACCCGGGGATGTCACCTAGCCTAGGAGACAGCTCTCTGCCTCTTCACCACAACGGAGATCTGCCGGGATCCTCCCATAGCTCTATGAACAGACATTTATCCCAGAGCTCATCCCGCTTACCCCCGCTTCACACTCAGCCACCTCCTCACTCTGATTTGCCACCCAGAGGACATCCAAGTTTGCAGCAACCCCGTCCAAACCGCCCCACCACCTCTCCTGGTCCGTGGGGAACCAACGGAGTCGGAACCCGCAGGGAAGCCACCTCCATGTCCAGCCACCACACTCCAGACTCCAGTTCTAAGAGCAGAGGAGTTCCTCCATCACAATCCCAACCTAAAAAAGCTCCTACAAAGCCCATGTGGGTAGACGTGTCTGTGCTTCCTAGGATACCAAAAATAAAAAGGGAGGGCAGCAGTGTCACAAATGGTGGCAGTAGTCGAGACAGTAGCAGTAGGGGAAGTAGTAGTCATTCTGCCGCTGGTAGTAATGGATACGGCATGCCGGACACGAGCATGAACAGCCTTTCTGGGGACAAAGGAAGGCAGCAAAGTGTCGACCAGCAAAAGGGCCAATCTGACGGTCAGGCCCAGAGGCACAGGCCCGACGGAGCAAGCTCATCCTCAGCCTTCTCCAACTCGTTCGCTTCTTCCTCCTCCTCCTCCGCTAGCTCTAACTCCAGCCAGCCTCGGTATTCCTCATCTTCCTCATCCTCATCAACGGTGAGCTTCCGCATTAACTCCAGTGGGAACTCCTGGCATTCGAGACGGCTAACCGTGGCGTCGTCCTCTGCTAGTGGCGGCACAGTACAGGAACGCTGGAGAGAAAAGGAAGACGAAGCCAAAAAGAGACAGTTGCACAGAGATAAACAAATGCTGCTGGCATCACGCACGCCGGTCAGTAAGGAGCAGGAAAATAATATGTACGATCCCTTTAATCCTACTCTGTCAGATTCAAGCAGCTCAGGCGACGAAGCCGAGAGCACGAGCTTAGATAGCAGCTCTCGGCAAGCCACCAATGAGAGCAAGGCTTCTAGTTTAGGACGCAAGGAGGGCTTAGTGCAAACCAAACAAGACCGGGTACAGGTGAAAACCGAAACACAGGAAACTGAAATCTCACAGGAAGAACCAAGGAGAGCTCAGGGAACTATACCACAGGGGGTCAGAGGCCCTGAGGTCAGTGTAAAGGTTGAGAAAGAATCAAGATTAATAGACGTAAAGACTAAGAAACTAACGTTATTGCTTGACACTAAAATTAAGAAAGAACCAGGGTTAGATGATGCAGAGGAATTAGAAAGGTGCGGTTACAAGTCAAAGAGTTATTCAAATTCAGAGACGGCAGAAGCCACATCGGCTGCTCATCACAGTCTGGAACTGGTAAAGACTGAAAGAGAGCCTCAGGAAGAGGAAAGCGAACCGTGTGCTGGGCCTCTCAATAGATCTCTTCTGAACTATAAGGACGATTCATCAGCATCCAGCTCTGCTACCACCAAGAAGAAACAAAAAGAAGAAACTAAATCGGAATCATCGTCCTGTTCCAAGTCCCCTCTAAGAGATTTGAGCCATAAGAAGAAAGCCTCCAAAGACGTGAAGGAGCAACAGTCGAGCAGTTCAGAGACCGACAGAGGCAGAGGAGGTGATCAACGTGTCTCAGGTCAGGGAGGTAGGCAGAAAGAACGGGACAAGGACAAGGAAAGGAGTTCCAGACGGTCCCGATCTCGGGAGAGGAGAAGGGCACATTCAACCTCCGACAGCTCTCAACCCAATTCCCCCGATAGGACTCGCAGAAAGAGAGAGCGATCCCGATCCCGATCCAAAGATGAGACAAGAAGGAGGCGGTCCAGGTAAACATCTAACAATTTGTTGAGTATTCTGTGTACTAAGTATGACCGTGTGTTTGACCGTTACTGGACCAATTCATTTTCTCATTTCAGGTCTGGTTCCAGCTCGAGCAGCAGGGAGCGTTCAAGGAGGAAGAAACACAAACAAAGAAGCAAGGAGAGATACGACGACCGAGAGAAAGACCACGACAGAAGACGAGTCTCGAAGGACAAGAGACGTGGTCGCTCAAAATCCCAGTCCAAGTCACATTCTAGGTCCAGATCTAGATCCAAGGACCGTAGGCGTGCTCCATCAAAATCACGGTCCAGATCCAGGGAAAGGAGGAAAGATCACACCAGACCACAGCATTCATCTCTGCCCTCCCGAGACAAGGTGGAATCGCGATCGAAAGACAAAAGGAGGCACAGGTCTAGATCCAACTCAAGAGAGAGACGGAGAGAAGAAGCGTCGTCCAAAAGTGTGCAGAAGACTCCAGGGTCGTGTGTTTCATCCTCCAAAGACGCAAAGCGCTTGCAGGACAAAAAAAAAGAGAAGGATATAACTCAAAGCTCCATCCAAGAGGAAAAAGTAGATAAAATAAAAAAGCAGGAGCCGCCCTCCAGTTCCTCTAAAGTCAAAAAGGAAAGCAAAGACCTCGGAGCAGACAACCAGGCCACGTCTACAGAACCGACGAAACCAGTAAAGGCTGGAAAAGAAATTAAGAAAGAAAAACAAGCATCTTTTGATATGTTTGAAGATTCTCCTATTGTTAAACTGATTAAGAAAGAAGAAATAGACACTCCTTGTTCGGCAGCGAGCAAAAGCATAGATGAGGCAACCAAAGACCCCGTTAAGACGGAGACTTGTGAAATCAGCATAACTAAATCAGAGCCAGGTTCCCCAGAGTTGTGCAGCTTACCTCCTGTCACCTCAGTTTCTACAATGACCACTCCTGTTAAAACAGAAAACCTCCAGGACACCGTCTCCCAGTCTCACCCGGTGCCGGTCGACTCCGTCAAACAAGAAAACACCGTTGAGTCGACTGTCCCTGTGAAACAAGAAGCTCAGCAACCCTCGGACTCCGACGATGACTTCAATGTCGATGTGATGCTGGACAACCTGGATTACGTGAAGTCTGAGAACACGGAGGGGAGCGGAGCAGCCGTCAGCCAGGAGAAAGAAGAAGTGGAGGCGAAGAATGAGGGAGAGCCGGTGTCGACTTTGGTCGGAGCAAAATCCAAGACTCAAGTGAAGCGGGTCACGTGGAATATTCAGGAGCCTGAGGGGCCTCAACCGGAGAAATCTGCAAGCAGTGAGTGTTTCCACCAGATTGTTTCACGTCAGTTTGGTCCCTGTTCACATTATATCAGCAGATCCTGCTAACAAATGTATGTAATATAAAGAAGAAGAAGATTAGGTTTCTTCTCACATTTTATTATTTACATTTGTTTTGATTAGCAGAGATCAGAAATGTGTTTTGTGTCTGGGTCTTAGCTAAATGTGCTTCTTTTTCTTCCTCCACAGAGCTGGCTCTGTACAAGTTGAAGCTGAAGCAGGAGGGAGTTCGCAGACCCTCGTTAGCACTCCAGGCATCCAGTCAGGTAGGACCGAGCTACTTGTCCCTGCACATGCTTTTTTCTTAGAGATGCATCAAGCATGTAATGTCTAAACTGTCCAGAGGGTGGCAGTGTTGATCCAGAATGAGCAAGTCAAGGAAATGTCACGTGGTAGAAACTAAAACTGATACTGAAGCATTTTCAGGCTAAACGAAACTAAAACTGTGTCTTCACAATAAATATAGTCACACACACAGACAGGCACACACACGTTTTGCAGACACTATATGTACTACACACAAACAAATGCTGTTATTACAGTATTTAAAAACAAACAGTATATTTACACATGTAATCTAGTTATGGATAGCTGTGCATTTTGAATTCATTGCAAATTTACAACCATGATTGCCCAACACTTTAATCACTTTACAGCTTTCGTGTTTTATTTTATCTTATGCGATAATGAATGGAATATCTTTCGGTTTCGGAGCGTTGGTCGGTGCGTAATCTCTCTTGGTTTTCCCAGGACATCACTGGAGCTGTTGGTGACTCCCCCAAGAAGGTCGCTGCTGTTGTTCCGCTCAGTGCATCCTCCAAATCTGATGGCGTACATCCTGGAGAGTTATCAACCACCGGTCAAGGAGAGGCCGAGGAGGGGGATTTGTCGAGGAAAGACAAGGTTATTATGACATTGAAATGTTCAGTGTTTGGAGTTTTCAAACCACTGTTTAGCTTTGAATAAGTTTTGATTATAATGCCCAACTTCTTCTTAAAAACATACAGTGTGTGATTATACATTGACATAATTGATGTTTTACTTCTGTCAGCAGTATTTGAAAAAGCTGCATATGCAGGAGAGAGCTATCGAGGAGGTAAAGCTAGCGATCAAGCCTTTCTATCAGAGGAGAGACATCAACAAGGATGAATACAAGGAGATTCTACGCAAAGCTGTCCAGAAGGTGAGTAAAACTGAAACTGGTAAGATGCTGAAAGTTTTCTTTTTCTTTTTTTATTACGAGGTGTGATTCAGACATTTGTTTTCGTCTCAGGTCGCCCGTTTATTGTTTGTAATTAATCTTGTGTTCCCGGTCACCAGGTGTGCCACAGCAAGAGCGGGGAAATCAACCCGGTGAAAGTGGGGAATCTGGTTAAGGCGTACGTGGACAAATACAAACATGCTAGGAAACATAAAAAAGGAGAGGATTCAGGGAAGGGGCAGGAGGTACAGACTGAGGCAATGAAAACCTCTGACAGTCCGTGAGGAGGCAGGAACTACAGGCAAGGACAGACACACCCACATTAAACCCTTGTTCATATGCTGTTTTACTTTGTGTCCTACCACTGGGCCTGATCTCAAACTCCCGTGTGTAAATGGCAAATTTGCTAGACTTGCTCCCAGTTTCAAGATGGAACATTTTCTATAATGTCAAGCTTTCTATCTTAATAGTATTTTGAGGACAAACTTTCTCCATTGATGACTTGAACTACACCTGTTGGTGTCTTTTGCTCGGACTGTCACTTTTTTGTGTAGTACAGCTCAGAACCATTACGGGAGACTTTGAGGCTATGCCTTAAGGAGGCAAATCTCAATCAGGTAGCTTTCTCTACGGGCATATA